ACCTGCCAAAGATGGGGTACATTGACGTTGTGGCAGGCTTATGCAATGTATGATCATATAATGTAACCTAACCCCCATTGTGTTTGATTAGATTAGGTGTTTTCAAAAAAAAACGAATGCAATCTGTAAACATTGAAGTTGCAGTTTAGTGGATAAGTGAGTGCGCTTGGTCTTGGTTATTGGAAACCAACATTATAACATTACCCAAACCAGGCAATAAATGTGAAAATTTTCACCCGATCTCCCTGTTAAATGCAGATTTGAAACTATTTGCCAACGTCATTGCCAACCGAATTAAACCGCTAACTAGCCTAGCTTCCCGAGAACAAGCAGGCTTTGTACCGGGACGACAATCGGGAGATAATACCAGAAAGTTTTTATATCTTATTGAATTGATGCAACATGAACGAAAGTTGGGGCTTTTGTTGGCACCTGATGCCGAAAAGGCCTTCGATCGCCGCCACTAGGGGCACATGTCATCGGTTCTCGAAAAATGTAGTTTCCCCTCAAAGTTTTTAAAAGCGATTCGGCCCTTTACATAACACGGTCCACCAAAATGCTCAATACAGGTTTTTTATCCAAGAAGTTTTTTCCCAAACGAATGGCACTCGCCCTTATCGCCACTATTTATGCTTGCTCTAGAACCCTTGATTAAACACATCCTCTATAGTGGCTCCGCACACTATCCTACACCTGCTGTGTATTCCGCTACACATATAGCCTCCACAGATACAACCAATGTCCTGAAGCCCATGGATCAGCGCAGTCAGGGGAATGGGCCTTGACAGAGCCAAGGAGTAGGCAGGTGGAGTTAAAATTTTAGGCAGGGTGCAGGGTGCCAGGATTGGCGGCGGCCTCCAGGACAGCCGGGTGTGCAGAGGCCAGTGGAGGAGATGACATAGCCCAAGGGCGTCCCGGTGAGTCTGCCTCCGGTGTTACACCCGGGCGGCAAAGGGACAGGCAGGTGGATGTGGGGGACGGGCTGACAGCTCTCCTGGGGGCAGAGGGGGCTCCTGCCAGTAAGGGCACAGTGGGTACGGCCGGGGTTAGGGCCAGGCATGACGGCAGGGGGACAGCCGACCGGGTTTCCCAGCTAGGACGTCAGAGGCAGGCCAAGACAGCAGCAGCAGTGGATTCTGGCTGCATGGGACAGCGCAGGGACCCCCTTACTGACGGGTTGGCGTCACAAGGGGTCCTTTCTCAATGGTCTGATGCGGATTCGGACGCTGGGGTTAGGAGGATACGGGGGGCCGCAGGTGCACCTCCCAGGGGCACCCAGGAGTTATACACAACCCCAGACCTGGAGTCAGCAGGGAACGGCGCGAGGAAAGCGCCAGGCAGGAGGGTACATGGAGCGCCAGGGAGAGGAGCCTGTCAGCTGATAGTTGCAGTAGGCCGAGGTCGGCCTGCAGGGACAGGGGGAGGACGGAACGGCGCAGCGCTTCTGGGTCCTCAGACGAGAGCTCCCAAGGACAGCAGGATAGCAAGCGGGCAGGAGGGCCAGGCAACTAAGCGGGGCAGGCGTAGGAACGCTGGAAGGGAGCGTAGGGAGGAAGGGCGGGTAGGGGGACCCATGAACAGACTACCCAGGTGTTCTTCTCCTTACAGGTCGCGGAGCATTACGCCAACGGTCCCGAGGCGGGACCAGGCAGAAAGGAGTCGGCGTTTCTTGGACACTCCGGAGCCGTGCGCGGCGGATGGAAGGATAACGACCCCGCGGCCCTCCGCGGCCGGGGGCTCTGGCGGTGAGTCATCTGGTACACCACACACAGATTCATGGTTAAGCGGTTTAAAGTCGTTCTTAGATTCTTGGACCAGTAGGGAGGGGGCTTCACCGCAATTCTCGAGGGTGTGGGGTCCGGTGGCTGGTCTTACGTCCGCGGGACAGGCAAGCACGGGGATTGGTGACACCGGGGTAGCCGCATCCGGGTCGGTAGGGGGGCCGGGCGAAAAGACGGACGTAGGCGGCGAGATTACCGACGCGGCGCGGCAAAATGTGCACGTTTCTTTCGCGGGCCCCTTAGGCTGTCATCTTAAGGCCGAGTTGAAGGACAAGATTTGGAAAGGTGAGTTCGTGGAAGTTTTTGCCCTTCTTCCTCTGGAGGAGTTTCTTGACCTGAAAGAGGAGGACAAGAAGGACGCAAAGAAGGAGGAAGAAGAGAAAAGGCGTAGGTATAGGAAGATCCCCAAGACGTTTGCGAACTGGCTACGGGCATTTTGTATATTGGCCAGTGTTATCGGGGAAAAATTCCCCGACCGCTGCTCACAACTTTTTTGTTATCTGGACGGGATTGGGGACGCGTACCGAACATACGGGGGAGTAGCATGGTGGAAATACGATGAGCAGTTCCGCCAGCGTTTAGCGGCGAAACCTAGTATGCGGTGGGATCAAATGGACCTACCCTTATGGATGAGACTGATGATGGCGCAGAAGGCTGCGCCCTTTCACGGGGCGGCCGGTGCGGTACCCGGAGGATCGGCACCGGCCGGGCAAAAGAAGGGTGTGGCGAAACCAACCTCGCCACTGTGAACTGGAGAAGCCTGGTTGCTCGCCTGCTCCCTTTGGACTATGGCCCTGCAGGTTAAACCGTTTATTTCCCCTGCAGAAAGGCTTATTTGTGTGATCTGAGTGCCATTCATCTAATAATGTGCACTCAGATCCCAACTATCTGGGGATATGTGAAATGTCTGTGTGTTATGTGTAAATGTGACTTTATGTATTTTAAAGTGTTTTGTGTCTTTTTGCAACCATGTGCTTAATGGAGTCTTGTGTCTATCCTGGGAGATAATTGAATTACTTATCTCAGGATAGAAGACTCTGAAACTGGTTTGGGCCAGAAAGCCATGCTTCATTTAGTCACAAAGGACTTTTTACTAACTTTTGAACCCCTTGTCTGATTTGTGCCATTTTTTGAATATGTTGTTCCCCTGAATGGATTGATTGTGAATATGTAATTTTATGTGAATGTGATGTATGGTTTTAGAGTTATGAAAGTTGGGTAGAAAGTATGTTTTAACTGTATGTGTAATTGAGTTTCCTCTCAGGATAAGGGGAGGGAATATGTGGGATGTAACTGTGATGTGATTGGTTGTTTTGTAACGCCCTGTGGGCTGTACTATGTTTGTGGATTGGGAATAAAAGAGACTGTATGTGACAGTACAGGAGTTCCTGTTTTAACCCTCAAAGTGAAGTGTCGTCTCATTATTGGGGGAAGGATTTATTGTATGCTGTTCCAGTTTGACTGCTAGGAGAGTAAACCTATTTGTATGGTTCCAATTCAACTGTCTACAGCATTCATATGCTTGGGAGAATTTATTTGTTTCTCCAGTTCGGTGATTGTGGTGTCTGCCAGAGTGCTTGGAGTCCTCAGGAAGCGCTAGGAGCATCCTTCAACGGAGGTACCCAGTCGGGGTGCCAGGTGATCCGTTACATTGGTGGCAAGCGGTGGGATGGCGTCCTAGTGCGAGGTAAAGCAGCTCGGAGACACAGTTTGTGGATTTACAAATTGAGGGCAACGCTAGTACCCGTACAGCGACCCTATCTACCAAAGAACTAACTTCAGCAGAGCAAGCATGGCGTATGACTACACTCAGGAGGAGTTTGACAGAGAGGTTAATGAGGTGCTGTCTACCTTTGGACCCAACCCCCCAGAGAGAGCCGTGCAGCTCGCCAGGAAACTAGTAGGAGAATACCTGCAATCTCTAGTAGATTTGGCCAAAAAGGAGTCCCAGGGAGCCAAAGGTGTCATCCTTCCTCCCCAGCGGCAGTGTGTACCCCAGGGAGCCAAAGGTGTCGTCCTTCCTCCCCAGCGGCAGTGTGTAACCCAGGGAGCTGAATGTGTCGTCCTTCCTCCCCAGCGGCAGTGTGTACCCCAGGGAGCAGAAGGTGCCGTCCTTCCTCCCCAGCGGCAGTGTGTATCCCAGGGAGCTGAAGGTGCAGTCCTTCCTCCCCAGCGGCAGTGTGTATCCCAGGGAGCTGAAGGTGCAGTCCTTCCTCCCCAGCGGCAGTGTGTATCCCAGGGAGCTGAAGGTGCAGTACTTCCTCCCCAGCGGCAGTGTGTAGCCCAGGGAGCTGAAGGTGCCGTCCTTCCTCCCCAGCGGCAGTGTGTACCCCAGGGAGCTGAAGGTGCCGTCCTTCCTCCCCAGCAGCAGTGTGTACCCCAGGGAGCTGAAGGTGCCGTCCTTCCTCAACAGCGGCAGTGTATATCCCAGGGAGCTGAAGGTGCAGTCCTTCCTCCCCAGCAGCAGT